GTACTCCAGGAAGGAGAACCAGCATCAGGGCACTCCCTAGTGGTGTGATTTGGCAGGAAGAGGTGGGGAAAGCACCTCAGGGACACTCTGGAATATGCACTAAGCGGACAAGATGATTATTGTCCTTATCAGCGCTGTCGTCACTGTCACCCAGTGTGAGACACACTTCTCCCCTCCCCCAAGGCTAGGGATTGCGCCAGAGCCCTGCGCGCGCTCAAAAACAGGTGACGCGGCCGCTGACGGTTACTGCGCGGATGTGGGTGTTTGAAGATGTGGGAGTAGAGGATGGGGAGGGAGAAGAGGGCGTGTTCCTGACGGTGAAGCGAAGACCGTCACATGATTCCCGCAACACCGGCCAGGGGCGGGGAGGGGGCTCTTTGGGGACGCACACCCGCTTGCGCTGCGTCCTCAGGTGCTCTGGGCTTCCCCGCGTCACCCGCAGTCTGGGCGCCTCCTGCGACGTCGCCATTCACTCCTCCTATACTACACTGGAGGCACGGGTCTCCCAGACCCCGGGAGTCGCAGTGTGCCCTGGGCGCTTTCAATCCCCCCCCCCCCTTTCCCGACCTATTAGCTGGGAGGTCTATGTATCCTAAGCGCGATGCGGAGGTCCAGTTATCTGGACCTCTTCTAGGAAAGAACGAGATACTCAGACGCTCGGGAGACAAACAGACACAGGAGCACAGCGTACAGACAGAAATTTAGACAGAGATACTTAGGAGAGACGCAGACAGAAAGTGTGACACAGAAAAATATATGGGACACTGTATATGTAGTACAGGCAGATACCTACCGACAGGCAGAAACACAGAACTCGGATAAAACCAGAACCGCGTAGATACAAGAGCGCGCCAAGCACGGGAGGCCCACCCATTGGTTTGAGCTCTTCCCGCGCGCCCTGCAGTTGGCGCAGTGTTCCGCTCCACAAACACCGAGTTTCCCACGTTCTCCCTTCTAGCGCTGGCCCCGTTCCCGCCTCCTTCCTCCGCCCCTCGCCCCCTCCCGGTCCGCACCTCTTGTCTCTTCTCGCTTCGGTGCCGGACACTTCCCCCTCTCCCCGAGTGCTGGCTCGGTCACGTCCTTCTCCGTCTCGCCTTTGCTAGAACGCGCCTGTGCTCTCCGGCCGAGTTCCACAGTTCCCCGCGCCCGCCATTCCTAAACACTCCCGCCACCGTGCGCCCCCAGCTGCCCCTCTTCGGGGGAACAGTCCGGCCGGCTCGAGCCCCCGGCTCCGCCTCTCCC